GGCTTCACATCTTGCCCAAGGGCCGCTGTTTGGGAGGTAAACAGCATTCTTCTGTTTTTTTGAGTGACCGAGCACCCAGCTTGAATCATAGTTTCCCAACCCTCAGCTTCAAGCCCGAAATCTCAAGCTGCAAGCCCACATGCCCACATCCCAAGCCTTGAAGGCGGAAACCTGCCCTTCTCTCGGAAAATTGAGAGATGTGTCAGGTTCTTTGTTTTCTCTTGACGGGATGGCCTTGGCCCCACACTTGGGAGTCAGAGTTCCAACCACCCTGAACCTTGAACCCTGAACCGGGCAGCTCCCGGCAGGAGATCTGCAGCCGCCCGTTGTGGCTTGACTTTTTTGAAGCACTTCGAGGTTTAGGCTTCAGAGCTTCAGGCATGATTGGTTCAGGGTCTGACCTTTTCGTTGAAGTTTTTTCAGGAAGAAGGGACAGGCCGCAGTAGGGCTCGCAAGTAAAGCTTTCCATTGTAGATTCGGTTGTTTTTTGGGTGAAGGAATGGACAGGTGGGTCTGGGAGTACTATGATCTAGCAAGAGGGGGTTTTCCAACACGATGGACCCTTTGCTTTTCGTAAGCTCCGGTTGGTATGCTTTTTTGTTTTTTGCTTTTGTCAGGGAGGCCTGAATGTTGAGGAACAGGCAGCTGACATCTACGGCCATTCATGCTGCGCCTCAAATTCCTGACAATGGTTTCGGGAAACCACCAGATCAGACAGCGGGCGCTATGCACTAAGAAACCATTGTTCACTTCAGTTTCATCTTACACCGAACCGCTGTCTCAACAAATGTTGAGCCCCATTCCTTTTTCTTACAGCCCACAGCTGAGTTTTCAAGGACTTTAGCGCTACACCTTCACCATTGCATTCGGTGGTTTATGCGTACTTACCAGACCGTATTTGGAGATATTTCAAGGTATTTGACGCCACATGCAAAACTGCCTTGAACAAGATTAGACATCCATATGTATGCTTACATGCCCTTTTCCCGGTAAGCCTGAGTCAACCTGGTTCTTGAACCTGAGCTCCAGAACCCGTAAAGGCCAGAACTTCCAAGAAGAACTGCAGCTGCCATAGGCAGCAGCTCCTTGACGCGGCTGATCTTCTGGCCCCAAACTCTGAAGGCAAAGCACTCTCTTCAAGGATTGCGGTGTCAGGATTTGTGGAAGGCTGGGGGCCAAGGGGTTTGTTTGGCGGTTTGGGGATGTTTGGGGTGGGCCATTTTCTCAATCACCGCATAAACCAAGATGAGGATTCAATCTCTAGGCTTGGACAGGGTACTAAAATCAAACCTGTATCCGCAACCCTCAAGCCCTAAATGCGTCAACTCAACCTCAAAAACGCAAACGGCGAGACCTTTCTTGAGCTCGTGAACAATCCTCCAGGGAGCTCCAAAATTCTTAAACCCCAAGCCTGAACAGAAGAGGCTTTGCGCTCCATGCTTCCAAAACTCTGCATGTCTAAGCCCAAAACCCCTAAGCACTCAAAAGATATGCTTTGAAGAGACCGGACCGACCATCTAGGCGACGTGGATGGTCCAGAACCAGATGCAGGCCTCAACTCCATTGCTTTCTTTGGACGGGGGTGCAGGGTTTGAGGGTGAGTGGGGGTACTATACTCTATGTTATGCCCTCCTAAGCTTGAGAGCCTTCCAGACTTCCTTCCAAGTCACCCCAATTGACATTCTGCACCCGAAAATCGCTCCACCCTCATGCTTCACATTGCTTTGCAACATCCTCCGTCATCTTTTGTGGGTGCATCGAGTGGGAAGGCTCGCCATCTCATGAGGAGCCACAGTCGCGCCAGCCTTGGTACGGGTAAGCTCAGAGGGATTTGCAGTTTTGGGTTTGAGAGATGTAGGGCCATAATTAGGGCGCAGGAATCTGGAATTTCTTCAAATTAGATGGGTCCTTTCAGGACTCCCAACTTGAAGGGCTACATCAGGTTGGTGGGATTTTGGAGGTGAATTCAAGTGGAGGCTTAATTTGAGAAGCGTCTCATATCAAGAGCCGAGGGCCCTTGCAAAAGCATGCAGAGCTCAAGTTGGATTAGTAAGCGGTGCATTCACCGAAACAAATATGGAAGACCTGAAGGGGGCCTGACAAACACTGAAGGAATGCACTCAAGCTCTATCTGGTGTCGTAAGATCTTCACCATCGCGCAGGGCAGCCAATGCCCCCCCGACACGCACTTCCCGTTCAATCCTTGCAGCCTCATCATAATCCGCGGCTTAATTCTCGCAGCTAGTTCCAGTAAGGATACCTGCATGTACCTGCCCTAATTCTGCCGGGCCCCGAACCCTTGGATCCTTTCACTTCCTCGGCCTTCCTTACTGCGAATCGGATGGCGCGATGTTGTGTCTCAGGTCTTCCCAGAGCTCCTGGACGCACAGAGGAGCTCATCCAGAAGCCTCAGCCAGTCTTAAAAAGCAGCTATAGGTTTAGATGCAGCCTCTTTTCTGTCTCAGGGATGTGACCGTCAAAGTTTGATGCAGTGCTTCAGGGCGCTTAGTCGGAAGTCCCGTATTCCCCATGCAAGCAAGAGGTTGATCCATTAAGAACTCTGTGCCCATGCACCATAATGATCCACCTTCAGGAGTTTCTGCCCTGGTGGACTTGAAGCAGTCCGTGCAGGCTATGTGCTTTCCTCTGTTCCGGGCAGCAAAGGAGCCTGGATATCTGAAAAGTTGGTCTCTGAACCATGGGCACTGATGGGGCTAGGGGAGTTGTATTGCAATATTTGGCAAGCCTGGAAAAGGACAATAATGAACGTCAATGAAAGGTGTGCCATGCTAGTATTCTTGCATTTCACACAGCAGTTGCAGTATCCCTCACCTTGATCGTTTCTGTCAGGTTTGGGGTCCAGTGTTGGGGGGTAGGGGCTTCACCCCCGAAGCTAGGCCCCTGTGACACGCAAGCTCAAAGCCCTAAACAAGGTGTTGACTTGTGTTTTTGAAGCGTTGCTCTTCACAGTCTCTTCCCCGTGCGTTTGTGTCGAAAGGTTCTCCCAATTCCGCCCACTTTGCCTAAGCATCAAGCCCTGTATGGCAAAAAGTCTACGAATCCTTAAGCCCTCCAAACCCTGCCCCCAAATCCAAACTAACTAGCCATAAGCCACGTAAGTCCCAAGCCCAGCCCTGAACACCTAATGCACGGCCAAATGAACTCTGCTTCCCCAAGCTCCTGAAATCTGTCCAGGCGACGTCGTCCACGGTTGCCCGGAGGGCATATGAAGCCGCAGGGTACCGTGGAGGTCTGGGGTCGAGGGACAGGTTCTTGTTAGAATTCCACAGGGCAAGTGCGTTAAAGAGTTCCACAGGAGTTCCAAAGACTTACAAGGACAATAACATTTACCCACCCCCATATTTGGTGTTGCAGGTTGCTAGCCCGGCGTCCCTATACAACCGAAGGGGCCAACCTCAAAAGTCTGAAGCTAGGTCCTGAAGCTAAGTCCGCTGGAGATGGAGGAAGAACTGCATGCCCCGAACCAGAGAAAGACGTGGTGAAACTTAAAGTAGTTCTCTTACATTTCTCTGCAATCCCACCATGTCTGCTAAAAGGTCTTACCTGCGACGTAGAGGGGTTGCTCCAAATCATGATTTCTTTTGGGTCGCCTTTCTAATATCCCTTTGCAGGTAAATTACCCCCGAAAGGGTCCACAATTTTGTGTTTTGTATGTGGCTGCTCCTTTGCAGGATCCTCCACCACCTTGACGCCTGAGCTCGATCCGCTACAGGCATGTCCACTCCCGGGGGTTTGGGGCTCAAGCTTCAAAACAGGACTTGCCGGAACCCGAGGTTAAGCTGTTCGGGATGACGGTGGATCTTCTTTCTTGTTTTGGGTTGTGCATTCTGCGTTGCGGGATCAGGGCTTCAGGTTTCTCACAAGCAGTTTTGGGTTTGGCAACTTCTATAGGCGCACGACCAAATCTCGACTGTCGGCTTCGGGGGTTGAATGTTTCTGGAGTCTGCCTTGAAGTTCCTTTGAATTTATGCAGAGTCCTCAAAGGCTTTCAACGAAAACGTTTGAACTGGGTGCTGGGCATTTACAGGTGAAAGGGGCAGAGGTTCAGGGGTTATGATTTTGTGTTTACGTTTCTTAGGGTTTGGTCAGGGTTTTGGGCCTTACCAATGTCCCAGAGGTTTGTAGAAGAAAGATAGGGGCTTCATTTGCATTATTCAGCGTGATGGGTTGGATGGGTGACGTGCAGAATCCCCGAACTGGTGCATGATTTCTGATTTTCGTTCCTAGATTTCCCCGAACAATAATTCCAGGTGAGGACCTGTTTAATCAGCTTCCACAAACAGCTTCGTTGTGAGGTGGTCATTTGCTTATCACCCTTGCAATGCGCCCCCGAAGACATGCCCATGATTTCGAGGCGGTCTCCGGTGACTTCATTGCATGACCAGCGCCATTTTCGTCACAGAGTAGGAGCTTAGGGTCGCCATGGGCGACAAGGTGAAGGCGCTCGAGAACTCGGCCAAGGCCGATGTGCCCAGCGCCCCCAATGCCAAGAGAGAGACGTGGTCCGTTTTAGTTCGTTTTCTGGACTCGGATTTACCCCACACTGCCCCTCAAAAAGGACTCAGGTGGGCAAAGCATGTTGGCAAGTCACCCCATGCTCTACCATCCGAACCTTCCTGACCAAGCAACCATAGCAGCTTCTGCAAGCCAGGACCCAGAAAAGAGCCACATACTTTTCAAAACTCCACATCTTGAACCCTAAGCCAGTCTGCCAAGACAGCTGAGGACAAGCCCCCCAGGCTTCTCCAGGACAGGGTCCACACGGTTTGAGCTTCAAACGCATCGGATTTAGCGTTGAGGGTTAGAGGTTTGGGCCTATTGATAGAGGGTTTGGTTTCAGCAGTGCAGTGGGACATTGCAAGACTTGCCCCTGCCCCTAAACCATGAACTCTATATTCTGAGCTGGCCCTGCACCTGTGACATGTCAGGAGATAGCGACGCTGCCCAAGCAGAGGGTCCACAAAGCCTCAGTAGCAGCGATGCGCCAAGTCCTCGATGACCAGCTGGAGGATCAATTCCTACTCTTGATCAGCATACTTTGACATGATTGCCTACTATTGTTGCCATGTCGCTGCAACCCTTCTTCTATTCCTATAAATGGAGAGAGGACTTCATTGACGTTACCAGCAGGAGGAGAGGTGCAGGGGGATGGGGAACTGGAGGAGGAGGTGGAGGACGAAGAGGTTGTAGCACGAGTGGCGCTGGCGGCGGGGAGTGGCGGTGGGTGGCGGTGGCAGTGGATGGAGTTGGCGTTGGCTTTGCTTTGCTGGGAGCCGGAGGTGTACGCGGGATGCCTATTTTGATACATTTATAAAAGATATAGTGCACGGTCACTGCAGAAGGGTATCATGAGGGGGAGCACTGCAAATCTCAAAACCTACGATAAACTTATTTGAGAGGAGTTGAAATAAACCGTAGGGCTTGTTGATGTTACCTTGATGTGAGAGGAGGCCCTGCAAAACCCAAACCTCCAAACCCTTGAGTATAGGAGATGAATGGCATCTTCATCCTCCACGCGCAGAAGATCAAGCGCATGCTGGATCTGCAGGAACATGCTGAGAAGATGAGGGAGTCCCGGAAATGGTCTAGAGTTTGGCTTTGGCTTTATGGCATGAGAGGTCTGAAATAGCCTGTCGAGGGATTTTCTTCTCACGTGGGCACGAGGGGGTTGTGGTGCATGTTTGTTTTCCAAATGCCTACGCTCAGTCGGAAGAATAGTGGAATTGAAGTTTGCGTTGCTCCCCAGCAGTATCTGAGCACCTGCAAGCGCGAACTAGATGCCTGCCAGCAAAACCCAAGCCCAAGCGGACATTCCCAAAGTCACTACAAAGCTGGCTATCCCCTCGGTATACTCCCCGTATACTACTTGTCTTATTATTGTGACCCCTTGAATAAGAATGCTGCAACAGCTCTGTAACGTTGGAGTTCCCTCGTCCTCCCAGAACACCTCAAATCCGCACCTTGCCCAAACGATTCGGATCAAAATGTCAGATTTTCCAGGGTGAGGGGGATCGCGTTTCATCGCACATCTATCATCTATTCCCAACAAGCCTAACGCAAATGATTCCCGGATCATTAACGAAATAGGAAGAACTCAAGGCAAATTTCTCGAGCCCTAAACCCGAACGAAGCCCTACTCCTTAAACGGCAATGCCTCTCGAGGCCGATTGTGTCTAGCATCAGCCAAGGAGCTAGAAATTCAGGAGCTGCGGAATGAGTTGGTGGCCTTGAAAGGCCCAAAGAAGCTGGGCTTGAATCTCACATAGGGTTCAGAGTTTAGGATTTTGGCAGCCCCCTTGGGCGTAGAACTTGCGGGTGCGGGGCTCGGAGCGTACGCATCAGGTGGCTGGGCTCTTGGCTTCCTGTGTCTAAGATCCCCGAGTTGCGAGTTAGTAGATGACAAGTCCCAGCGGAGAGTTTGATCTTTGCCAGAGTTCCATGTCGAAGAACCTCTCAGGCCCGCAGAGCTTGACTACTTCTTCGCAATAACCACCTAATAAGAGAAGCCCATAAGCAGATATACCTAAAATCCCTGGACTAGAAAGCTTCAGGCCAAAGAGCATTACAAGCTCTAGGACCCCAAGCCAGAATCGCCCCAAATCTAGAGTCCAAAACCAGCCCTCAACTCTAAGCCCAAGCCCCCGAACGAAACGCACTCCAACGAAACAGCTATTCCTCACACCTTCAAACCCCGGACTCCGATACTGAAGCCCCAAGCCCTACATCCTGAACCCGTCTACCCTTTACCCGAACCTGAAAACGCTACAGCATCGTCTGGGTCATCATTGGCTTTAGCTTACAGTTGTGAGTTTACTAAGACCTGACAAGGAGGAAGGATGATGATTCATAATATCATCCTGAAGAGGAAGAGGAATCAGTGGTATCCGAGGAAGGGCAGTGGCGCCGCACAGCTCGAGCACTGCAAGAAGCTCCTAGTCGATCCTTGACTGCAGAACCCCGCTTCTCACAATGGCCGTTCGCCAAAATGGGGGTGTGAGGGACGTTTCGGGATTGGGGATGAGGTTCGGGTTTGGGTGGGATCTGGCTTTGTCATAAGAGATGTACCTGGGAACCCCAGGGACATATCTGGAATCTGGAGATGACAGAAAGATGATGGTGGTCCGTTGTGAAATCGGAGTCTAAGTCCAAAACCCTTAGTTTTCTTAGGAGTCCTGTAACATGCACAGACATCCCCAAGCATGGTGCTTACGGATTACATAATCCCTGCAGAGGCTGTTATAACCCTCTCGTAAAAGAACGGGCCCTTGTAGAGCTTTGGGGTTTGGGGCTTCGGGGTAGGGTTCTGATTCGGAAGAAGATGGTGGTGCTGGTGCTGGTGGTGCGGATGCCGATAGTCACTGTCAAGGCAATGTTGTTTTTGCAACCTTTCAGGTGCGTAGGTCAGCGATCAACTACGTCTGCTGCTTCTTGCCACGCAGGTCACCTTCAAGTGTGAATATTGGGATTCCTGACTTATCCTTGTTCTTCTGAAAGTTGGTGGTGGTCTCGACGCAAGCGAGCAAGCTGGACGGGCTGCGATGCATAGAGCCCAGACGCCTTAGATCCCAGACACGAGCAGTCATTCTTCAACCCTCACCCAAGACTCTACGTCCTTTCTTAGCCATAGGCAAGGACCAAACTAGGCCTGAACCCAAAACGCCTAAAGTCAGGAGCGGGATACGGCATGCCGCCTGGCGGAGGCGGAGAATTTCCAGCTGCGTGAGCAGCTTGCTGCCATGCGAGCCGTGGGGAACCAGACGCTTATCATGAAGCCCCTGGTCTTTGAAGGTTGTAGGCTTGGAGGTTTTCGGGTTTGGGCTCGAGGGTTGAAGGTTCACAAGCATTGTTTGGGATTCATAGGGTTCTGGAGGGTTTGGCAAAGAATCGCGCAGCTTTTCAGCTTTCTGTCCAAAGCCCAGGCCGGGCCCTATTCCCGGCACCTCCGTGCCTGCCACAACCGGCTCCGGGGGTGTTGCTGGGGCTCTGATGCCCCCAGGTCCCTCGCGCTGAAGTTGGGGTTTAGGTAGGTGTTAGGGCTTAGGGCTGCTAGGGTTTGGAGTTCAGGGCTAGAGGTACAGCGCAGTTTGATGGCCGGAAATCAGACGTCTAGTGTTTGTTCACGAAGACCACTGAGGAATAAATCCCGCTTCCTCAAGACAGGTTCTACAAACGCCCATAAAGTTCTGTGAGGCTCCTCACCAGTCATGCGCCCGAACTCAGATACCCCACATTGTAGGACCCCTAGACTTGACCCCTGTGTGACGTCCCAAGCTTCATACCCTAAAGCAGGCCCCAAAGCCTAAATCCCTCCCGAAGCTCAGCCTAAAAATCCGATATTATTGGTGCTGCATGCTCGAACGTTAAAGGCATCTTGCTTGTATGGTACCCTTTTCAGCACTCTTCGATTCAGTTTCGGGCCAACCCTGTGGTGTAGGTGTTGGGGGTGCCTCACTGGGCCCGGCCTCACCCGTGGCCCTCTCGCCGCATTCGCCGCATGCGCTAGCTGCCCCGCTCCCGGGCACGGAGGTCGAGCATTGATTAGACTTTTAGACTGGAGGTTGGGTTGGAGATCGGATTTTGTAGTAACTGCTCGACGAGGGTCGCCTCGATTCTTGATGTTGCGTTCATAGCGAGGTTTTCCCATTCAATTCAAAGGGTTCCTGAGCCCGAACCCAAGACCTAAACCATAAATGAAGCCAAAGCCCTCAAACCCAAACCCTCGGCAAGCCCTGAGAGGTTTTGCACCGCTTGGAGCGCGCGCAGACAGTCCTGGAGACCTGGGCCACTGCGCACCATCCCCAACTTACTTTCCGAGGCAGGGTGCCATGCAGCCTAGGGTTTGGTAGGTAGGGCTTGGGTTCATTGGTAGGTTTAGCTGCAGTTCTTAGCAACTTTACGTGGGCTGATGGCCATGCTTATCAACGCATGAATTCCAATGCAGGGCCATCTTACGAGATTGCGGAGGTATAAGCGTTATGCATCAGGCATGTGAGTATCGTATTTCGAGCCCTCATAAGCTGTTAGTCAGGGTTGAAAAACGATTGCTAGGAATCCTGGCTGTCTGGTGGGCTTGTAGTCTCACGCTCATGGACGCAGTTTCGGGTTTAGGCTGGGAGTTCCTTTGAGGCCTTGAATTGTAATAGTACTAATAGTACTCGTAGTGCTAGGAATGCTGGGAGCACTCGTATACCACACCACTACTACTAGCAGCCAGCCGAGGCGCACGGTCCAAGGACTCTGATGAGGAGTCCTCAGACTCTGATCTCGAGCTGCCGGGTGCTGTGCGACATCGCTCCCGCCGAGGCTGGTGAAAAAGGTGTTGGGGTCAGGCCGTTTTAGGCGTAGGGCTTGTTTTGAGCCAGTTAGAGTCACATCGAGACGCAAATCCCTTAAACCTGAATCTCAAACGCAAAGTCCCTAAAAGCCCCTAATCTCAAGCTCCCCTTCCACCCCCAATCCCTGAGAAGGTGACAAGCCAGGCCAGGCTGAGCAGTCCGAGAATGAGGAGGAGGCAATTGATCCCAAGGCGTGGGCTTGGGGTTGGAGGGGGTAGGGGACAGGATTTTAGGGTTGAGGTTTTAAGGGTTTAGGGGCTTGGACTGTTGAGTTTGGAGTGGGGATTAGGATTCTGATCCCAAGGCCGAGTACCTCAAGGAAAGCCAAAAGCAGAGGAAGAAGAAGATGCTGAACAGCAAGCTTCTGGTGCTGAAGAAGGAGTTAGGTAGTTGGTACATTTGGGGTTATAAAAGGTATACACAGGGACGAGTTTAAAGTGCACTCCTGCACTTCCGTTCAGTAAAGGCTTAGAGCACTCGACATGAAGACTCGCATGCGGGATGCCTTTGCAGAGCCTTCCTATGTCTCGACTGAGCATTACCACACCACTGGCTGTGCTCAAAAGCTGGCTCGCTCGCCGTGGTTTGAGCACGCGACCATGACAGTCATTCTGCTCAACTCTGTATGGATAGGCATTGAATCTACCGTCAACGAAAGTGCGCTGCTGATCAACGCCGACCCCGGCATTATCGCAGTTGAAAATCTGCTGTGCGTGGCCTTCACTGTGGAGATTGTCATTCGCTTCATGGCCTACAAGTCTAAACTTCGAGCCATCAGGGATTTCTGGTTCATTTACGACTTTTTCCTGGCCTTCTTTATGGTGATGGAGACTTGGGTCTTCTTCGTCATCCTGACAGTGAGCGGTGGGGACCTGGTTCTGTGGGGGCCCCAGAGACTGGTTATGCTCACTCTCTTTGAGGTATATAGAAGGGAGCGTGCCCTTGCCTTGCCAATCGCATCAAACTTGTGCCGGGTTCAGCACAAGGGTTTGCATGGCATAAAGGGTGAAGTGGCACACAGCTTACCCACATAATATGGTTTTGGGAGGTATGTGCGCATAGTGGGTTACCATGGTCTAGCGCCTAAGGATGGCAGTTCTTGGACTCGTTTTCTTGTTGGGGCTGTTGTAGGCTGACCTTCATTTTTGATAAACCTAAGCGCTGACCCTGTGCCATGTAAGTTCTGTGACCCTTCCCCCACCCCAACAGCCTATCAGAAATGGGATGCGTCAAACTGTCCAACCCAGAGTCAGCTGCAGGAACCTGCTGCCAAAACCTGAAGCCCACAGTCGCCTGCCCTGAATCCGAATCTTGCAGAGGCCATGAAGAGCCCAATCAGCCTAGGTTTGACTCGTCAATTATGCGGATGTTGCGGTTGCTGCGCCTTACTCGTGTGGCGCGCATTGCTCGGATGCTTCGCTTCCTTCCAGAGGCCTGGTCAGCCACGGATGTGCCCAGCAGTATTTTTCTAAAAAAAAGGAACCCGCGCCCTCATATTCAGAGATCATTGCCGGTCAAAGGGGTTACAGGTGTCGTAAGAGGACGCCCCAGCCGCAGAGGCTTTCACGGTTATGGAGAAATGAGTTTTGAAACACTTGGGCACTGCAAGATTCGCAATACAAGGTCATGATCCTGGTCCGTGCCATTGGGGCAGCGCTGCGATCAGTGATACTCACAGCGGCTTGTTGGCAAGTAGATCTTGGAAAGGCTTGCGCAGGCCTTCCTTGTTTTTTGGTTGTGCCTTTTGTTTGCTCAATTGTCAAGATATGCCCGCAAAGTGACATGGCCCTGTCACAAATTGCGCATATTCTTTGCAGACCAGAAAAATCATAGGGTACAGGCACACAGGTGCCCGGGTCGTAAGCTGGAGAACAGGATCTTGATTCGTAAATCTCCCATCCTGCGGCTTCAGAGCTCTTATCACCATGATTCACCATGCCACCACATATTCAGTACTCCTTCCTGCGAGGATGGGGCACATAGGACTTGCTCGAGCTGGTGCTAGTACAGGTCCCATGGTTTTGGGCCCCTATTGTAGTGCAGGCCCCAAACTTTGTTGCACATCTGTTGGGACAGTAGCTTGCACTAGCTTCAACACCTTCCTTACACACGCAATCAGTGAACGCCCCGCGCCCCAGTAAACGCTGATACCAGACTTGGACTGCGTCAGAAGATTATAGGTCTTGTGGTTTCTTGATTCAGACTTATGAAGGCCAACAAGGCCCAGACTCCTAGACTGCCCGGATCCTAACTTCTGCGTCCTGCGTTGGAGGTCATCTTGGGCCTCATGATCGTGTACATCTTTGCCATCGCACTTTCACAGACCCTGGGTGCCAGCTCATCAGACCTGTTTGCTTTCTTGCCGCTCCCCTGAGTATAAATGGCTACCGCTCAGTATGATTGGTCCGGAACAAGGGGAAACGCGCATCCCGATGCAGAACCCGATCCAGAGATCCGGAACATGTTTTTTGAATTCCGTTCCAGACCCCTCCATTCCAGACCTGCGCATGCAATATCTTAAAAGTCACGTTGTGCTTGGTGTCCGTTCCATACCTGCTCCACAGCCGTTCCAGAGCAAACAAAGTATTTAGCACATACTCACCCCGCATACCTTCTGGGAACCAGCAAGAGTCAGTCATCGTTCCAGACCCTCCGGATCAAGCGTGCCATCCAGACCCTCCGGATCAGACAGCATAGGAACGTGCACACGGGGCACGTGGTTGTGATCAGTAGCCAAATATCTGTGTCTTACAGCATCATTCAGCTTGTTGCAAGTCCTTGGCATGGTTGCGAGGCAGTACAAACAGTGAGCCCAAACAGCATTGGATCCAGGATTGCGGTGGACACTCCAGCGGGCATCAACTACTACAGCACACTTCCGCAGGCCCTTAGGGCTATGCTTCAAGCCTCAACTTTCAAAACCTCAAACCCGGGGCTTAACATGCTGAATTACATGTATACGTTTCCCACGCATTCCCTTTTGATATCCTTAACAGAGCTCCTGATAAGGGAACCCTCAAGTTTCTTGTGGATAGCCCTTTTGGAGACGAGGTATGGGTTTTGCTCACAATCATGGGTCTATTCTCTTCGATGCCCAGGGCTTTGGAGTAATTATGCAGAAAGGGACCTTGGCAGTCGCTGAGGCAACCTTGCGAATGCTACATCCAGGAGTCAGGGACACGCATATAGGTCTGAAGGCCTTATTCCGACTAAACTCTCAGATGTGCATGCCAAAGCAGAGCGGAAAATTGTAGAGCAGAGGACCAACAAGCAACATAGTCAACCAAAAAAAGATCGCCCTAGTCGTTGTTGGAGTAGCTCTTCTCTTCGAAGAAAACTCGAGCTCCATCCAACAAGTATAGCACGCGGCTATCCTATGATGGACCCTCATACTCGCTCAGAAGCTCTGAAGCATGAACCTCCTGGCCGCAAGGGACGGCGGGCCCACTTTGTCTGGAAGAACTCCTACACTTCAGTCCTACTGGCCACCTTCTTTTCCAGGGCTGGGTGCGTACAAATCAATGAATAGATAAGTCAATATATATATATGTTTATATGGCTGATGGGTATGCTATACTACCATGGTTCCTGTGGCTTGGGCATCGCCTTCGCCTGGGAGCTCCACAAGATCTTCAACCATCCAAAGCCCTAAATCTGACCTCACGCCTCTCCAACCCCCAGTCAGGAACCGCACAGGGTGGAATCTGCGACCTCTTGTGGATATCAGTACTAGTCTAGACCCTCAGCCACAAAACGGCACCCCAAAAGCCCCACGGCTCCGCGGCGCTGTTGTGACCTTGCATACCCAACCCTGGGCACCCAATCCGTAGCTCAAAGTAGGCAATGTTCAGCCTCATTTTTCACGGCTGCTTCAACAATGACCTCGCCTCTATGGCACGCCTGTGGCTTGACTCCTGCTGAGGGTTTAGGATTCAGGCGTTTACGGTTCAGGGTTGGGTTGTGTTTAGGTTGTGGTCGTCGGGGGGCTTGGCATTTGTATTTAAGGGGGTGTTGGGGTCTTTGGTTTGGGAGTTTAGGTTTTGTGGTCAGGGTTTTGGGCTCCGGGTCTAGTTTTTTGTGTCTTCAACTTGAGGTTTAGGTTTAGCAGTTTAATGGCATAAGATTTGAGCTTCGGAGCAAGGATCTTAGGACTTGAGTTTCGGGGCTGAGGTGTAGGACTTCCGGGTTAAGGGTTTGGGAATCCGGGCTTGTGCGGATCCTCAGAACAGTGGCTTCTTTGATGCTTCTTATATCCAGGACATTTCCAGGTGGGTAGCTGTCAGCTTGCGGCCTATGACCTCATATGGTTGCGAGCCAGGCTTGCAGCAGACTACCATCATAACAGCAAGAATCTGACAGGAATCCTTCATTGCCCTGAATAATCATACTAACTCTGAACTACGGCCAAGCAACCTGGAAGTCAGCTTGATGTTGGGGGACTGTTTGCTAGCTTTGGATGGGATGTTTTGTCAGTAGATCATGGGATGCTAGGGGGTCTTTTGTTTGAGGTTCGAGTTTGTGGCTTGGGGTTTCAGGCATAGTGCGGCATAGGGGTGCGGGTTCGAAGTGGTAGTTGAATGCTCGCAGAACATATGTGCATTGCAGGATTATCCTGTATTGGGGTATGTGGGCTTTGTCGTGGGGTTGTGAGGTGAAGGATGTTTGAGGCTTTCAAGGTTCAGTAGTCATGAATACTGGTCGATGTTCAGTCCGACGGTTGTGAGAAACTCCCAGGTCCTTCCAGGACGACATTATTGTCGGTACGCTCTTTGCAGTGTTCATCCTCATCGCGCCGTTGACCATCATGAAGCTTGCTGGTGTTTGAGGCTTAGGGCCCAAGGACTTGAGTCTGAAGTATCTCAAAAAGATGGCATGGAGTCGAACGTCTGGGGTTTCTGAATTATGGGCTTTGTTCAGAGTTTTTAGACCTCTTGGTCTAGCCTATGCTGGGCTGCATGGTCTTGGCCCTTTCAGGAAGTTGTCGCTCAGTTCGTTTTTCTTCTCAAATCTCAAGACCAAAGTGTTGGTGCTGATCTGCGAAATCCTACTAGTAGTACAAAATGGAGCATCAACTCTGCCCCGGTCATATGCGCTTCTTTCAAGGTTGGGGGTCATTCCCAGTTACAGTATTAGTCATCGAAGAGGTTCAAGGGGCGGTCAAGTCTTGCAATCATTTCGTGGTCATCAGTCATCGAAGAGGTTCAAGGGGCGGTCAAGTCTTGCAATCATTTCGTGGTCATCAGTCATCGAAGAGGTTTCAAGGGGCTGTCAAGTCTTGCAATCACTTCGTTCCAACAGGCCTTTGCATGTTGTGGTCCTCAATTAATGAATGAACCCAGTTTTTGAACCCTTAACACCCCATGGTGAGAAATCCGTACCCCCTTGAGCCCCCAAACCAAGTCCCCAAGCCCAGAACTCCCAAACCTATAGGCAGCCCCCACCAAGGAACCTGCTGCTGGGAGTGTTGGTGGAGGTTGTGCGGGCTGCTGAGCTGAACAGGCAACCTAGAAACTTGCGACACGTACTTCCTCAAACATATTTGAGATTCCTGCATGGTTCCAGGGCTGTTAAGAGGGTAGCAGCCTCCAAGGAAGTGTGCGCTTCTCATTAACGATTCTCGTGTTGCTATGAAGCAATCACCACACCGTCTGAAGCCTGATGTGATTTTAGGCTTGCAGGGTGGGCAGCCTCTCTCTTACCCAGCAACCACCACAACCTGGAGGCCAGAGCGCTAAATCACCGAAATGAACACTCCAGGCACGGAATCAGAAAAGACCATTCTGTTTTCATCCTGGGCCCAGTTCTCGGATCGGCAAACCCGGCCAACATGAACCCTGAACCTCGAACCTAAGGTTGTTGCAACCGCAGAACAAGAGGGCCGCGTTGTGCGCAACCTAAAGGAGGAGATCCCACAAATTTGTCTCATGACCTATGTAATCTGAAGCTGGCTTTGAAGGACCGTGCGCCTGTCGTCACATGTGCACTGGCACTGCGCATTTCACATTTCCCGCGGGATGTATTTCAAGAGGATCTCTGTGTGTCTTTGCGACTACGTAGTGACTAGTGACCATGTCGGGGTGTGCTAGAAGTTGCTAGCATATTCGTGTAGGTCGCTGCAGGAACTTTGATTTGTACACTGTGGCGGCGAGGGGTCGTTTGAATTGCGGGGGTCCATTTGAGAGAACTGCTTGCCTTCCTGGCTGGACTGGGTGGGGTCCTATGTAGCATGCGCCAAGAAAATCCACAAGTACATGCCGTCAAGAGTTTCAAGAGCTTTGGCTTATTCACGGTGCTGGCTGATCAGATGCGCAGCAAAAGGGTTCTCACTTTGATCGTTCTGGTGTTTTTGATGGATCGTGTAACCGGGTACCAGACTCATTGTACGCAGAGCATGTTTCATGAAGTAGCATGGCCCTTTGCCCTACCCTTCTGTACACTACGTATGGCACACGACCCGGGACACATGATACTTTGAATCCGAACTCCTGTTTCACCCTTAGCCCGGAGAATCGAATGGCCAAACTCTCAGTGGCAAGGAGCTGCATTGGGCGAAGCAAGCGCTGGGTACTGAGGGTGACACCATCACCCAGGAGCTTGCATGACAGCTTTGGCTTTGTATAGTTGACGAATTTCGTGATGTTCAGTTTTGCAAGCTTCAAAGTTTTCTGAAGCCCTCAACTTTTCAGCTTCAAGGTTGGACACTCCAAAACAGACCTAAGACACCGGCAGCGAAAAATGCAATGATTTTCTGCTCAAAGCCTGCTAAGCCGAAATCTCCTGGCGCTCGACCACAGGAGGAATTCATCATGCTGCTTCAGAACGACCAAGCCATTGGCGTCCTTCAGGACAGGGGCTTTCTCCATATTTACGACATTTGAGAATATTTTTGTCGCGGCTTGTAGTATTCTTGTGGCAATCCTTTTTTTGCATACTTCTGAATCAACAGTGGCCGTTGCTATCCTTGGTTGGAATGCATATTCTGGTTCGGGGCGCACTTTGGGGTTCTTGGGCTGAGGGTGGGTTTAGGGTTAAAGTTTGAAATTGGTTTATCGCTGCGTTTGTGAGGGTTGCTTTTATGTTTTGAACTGGCCTGACTTGTAGCCCAAAAAGGAGCTTCAAAATTTGAGAATGTTCTTCACGGTGGGGCTACATCAAAGAGGGTGGTACCTTGACAAAATCTGTCAACTAGGGTCGCCTGTTCAAGAAACTCCAAAAGCAGAGAGCCTGAAGAGTAGGCAGACTATGCTGTTTCATCCTGGGCCTAGACCTTCCAGGTAGGCAGTCCAACAAGGACGTAAAGCAGCTTTGTCGTTAGACTTCAAAGTTCAGGGTTTAGACTATGGGATTAACATGAGACTCAGGCCCAACGTGGAACCTGCATTGCAGGTTCGGCTGTTGCATGCTGCCTTTGTGAAGGGCGAGGCATCAGAGCTGTCTTCAGGCAAAGAACAGGTCCTACGCGGTCCTGAAGGCAACACATCCCTCCTAAAATGATCTCAAAGGCACCCCTTACTTTGAGATATCTTCAGCCCTAAGCCCTCAAATTTGAAGAAAAGGACGTCGGCGTGGACCTTGTTGCCTTGGTGAAAGACCCCAACATCATCTTCGACGGAGATCCCTACATTCACTTCCAGGATCTGGATCCAAATGGCTGTGTGAGGTTGTGGTCCATTCACGGCCGGCTCTGCCCAAAAATGAGTCCGTAATTCCTATGTCTGGACGCGGTTTCTTGAAAACGTGAGTCATGGACTAGGCATAAGCTTTAACATAAATGCCTTGAGAGCTTGCCACCGGCTTGTGCTTAGCGTCATCCCTTCCCCGCCACAAAACCCTCATCTTAATAGTCATTCCGATAATTCCCTTGAGCATGTGAGCTGCTGTCTGACGCGGGTTAGCAAGAGAATACCAAGCACCAAGCGTGGACATTGGATCCCCGAACTTAAGGTAGCAAAGCCATAACCATATTTGCCAATTAAAGCCGGTGTCCTCAGTGAGAAGCAATGACTGCAGCTCAAGTCAGTTTCCCATAGCACCCCCAGGACTTTCTCAATGAAATGCTATTGCTTCGTGGATCCAACAACGCCACGGTGAAGGACCTGACTGTCATGAAGCTCGGATATGTTTTGTTGTTTAAGGGTCAGTGTGTCGGGCGCATGAACTCAGCCCTTCCGTGGGATTTATAGGATTCAGAGTTTAAAGTGTGGGTTTAAGGGTTTTGGGTTTGGGGGTGTCACTTTGACAAGCCCTAACCCCTGGCCACAAATTCAATTCTCTGGCCGAAGCTATCCCCATTTCCGAGTTTGAAGTGCTTGTGCACAAAGGAAGAACCAGCTAATGCAGAGCTTGCCCAACGTTCTCAAGCGCAAGCTCCACCTGTAGTCGGGACAGTTCCTCAGCGCGGAGCCTTCTACCCCCCCCAAGTATTGGATGTACTCCGAGGGAAAGATCAAGCGGTATCCCCTCATTATTTCTAAGAACTCCCAAGCAGGGTCCACGGAAGAAAGGGGCCATTAAGTTAAGAAGCTCGAATTCATGGAGGGGGGAAGGTTCATGGACTTCACAACTTCCTCATGGAAGCTTATGAAACATCATAAGCTCCCAGGCATCATGAAGGAATGTCTGGTTCCTCAGAGCAGGACCATGATTTTCGCTGGGGTTGGACTTCCTACTCGTTTTTGAGTGGAGGCGGAGGAGCGGCCCCAGTAGTATGCAATCCTGAAGAGCAGAATTGTGCTCTCAAAGCGGTAGCAGTCAGAATATAGGTAATCCAGATGGGAGCATCATGATTACTCCAATCCTGCAGAACACCCATTGGGGTTGCTTCACATGTCCTCCCTCACTTGAGATTCAGTCCTCTAATGCACAAGGCCACACATCCACGTCTCAGACGCTAGATCCCCTGGCACCCTGATAAACCTCAGTCACTGAAATCATCAAGTTTCACCCGGCCTTGTGCAGCTTCACCAACTGCCAGCCTTGAACAGAGGAAGAACAATTCCAGATTATTCTCAGAGCATTCCCAGCAAGACTGCTTTGCAGTGCCACATCCGGACCGCATACGCGGCAAGTGGAAGTTGGACATACAACTTGAGGCTTGACGCTGTGATCATGGCTTCTTGGGGCAGAGAAGCAAGGTGTGAAGCAACACGGTCTCGATCAAGAAAATGCTGGTGGTGATTGCGTAACAATGAATTTGTTCCAGGCATCATGAAACCTTCTTGGATACCTTCGTAATTAGTACTGCACCTCGTAGCCTCTACTTGGAAACTGCCACTTTCATGGGTCCTCATGTGAGTAGCCCCCTGCACAGACCCCCGGAATGCCACTGAACACTGCCAACTGAACCCATAGCACACCGTATTGAGCCTCGCCAGAGCGCACCACACTCTAGTACACCTTTTTCTTATTCACTGGCTTGTCAGAGAAGTCTTGCTGTCAAAAGACCTTGCAAAGCAAGGGTCTTAGCTTGATGTCACTGGGGTCGGGGAGTCAGGCCAACGGGCAAGGACATTCTAGGTACCCTCCTTTTATTTTAGACTCCCTATTAAGCAGAACACTAGGAAAAAGGGTACCCTTACTTATTAATAAGCGCTACTGGGGAACCTAGCATTTATTCATGCTCAAAATGTACAATGGTTTACCCGGCGATGACCCACGTTCTGACAGTCATGCTACTACCATATGCAACACTTGTTTTCTGGATATGCCTACTCTGTGCTGGGGTGTCAGGCGGCTGCTGACAACGCTGATGACTGTGTGCACAAGCAATGTTGCTGTTATCCTGAGTGGAAAGAGCTCTCCAGGGGATCGCTTCAGGTAGACGGGATCTTGCAGCCTAGAGTTCATCATCTGTCTTGCGACCCCTACTGTTCGGATTCTTTTCTTTGAGGGCGACTGTTCCGGTACAAAGATCGTAGTCGTTGTGGGAATATTGTCCTGCCGATGCTTGCAATTTCTGCAAGAGAATTTGTCTCTTTTTTTGTGACCGGTACTATTACACTTGTAACTCCGGTTGATGTTCAGCTGTGCAAGGGTCAGTAGTCATGCCACTAGTATCAGTGTGCCTGCAAGCACCATACTTTGTTATCAAGTTTTGGAATGCTGGATTGAGGCCTACAAGCTGCAGGGTTGCAGGACACAGGATCTGGGGTTACAGGAATTTTTGAGCACGAAACCCTACACGAGTCCTGGCTCCCATGGCCGAACCAAACCATATCTCACAGGGTTATTTCAGGATCTATGATTTGCAGGATCTGAGAGTTTGGGGTTGTATGGTATCAGAAGAGGAGGGCCCAAATAAGACGGGCCAATCCTTTGGACCTACTGCGCCAGAATCTGGGTCGTTTTCACCACTTGGCAGCTTCGCCCTTCTCAACTGAAGCAGCTGCCATTGTTCCCGCGACCTCGCAGCAACGCCACGGAAGAAAGCAAGTTTCTCAAAAAGGGTGCTTTCGGGGGTCCGAGGAACATGGTGCATATTGTACGGGGTTACTGGATCCCTCTTAACTAGCAACTGCAGAGGTGATTTCTTTGAGACCCTGCTGCGTGAAGGACCTTCAGTTTGCAGGACAGGGTATGATAGCGATTTTGTTGTGAAACCCTGAACCCGCAGCCCAAAACAGTAACGTCAGGCTGTGTGCAGGAATGGCATGGGCCCGTATGGGCATATAGAGTTTAGGCCAGGTTTCAGGAAGCGAGTATGCTGGCAAATGCAGAGGGATTAACAAACATGATCAGAAGGGAGCCAGGTCCGTCTCCGTTACTATGTGGTGACGGGCCGGGAAGTCCCGTATGAAAAGGGGTGCACGGAGTATATTCGGCTCTGACTTAGTTAAATGCAGGATGCCAAGAGAATCTTGGCTAGTGCAGGGCTTAGGTAATTCGATCCGAGCCCTTGTGGCAATGTCTCAGCATTTCAAGAAGTGACGGAAACCTTTCATCAACTGAGGGGGACTCCCAGCAGCCCAGGTCTAGGTATTTCCTCATAGCAATGCATGGTGGTAGTTGTCCGACTCAACCTGTACATGGCCTGGAGGTCTATTGCCGGATTGAATCGACGGTGGAAGCGGTTGTGATGCTCGTTTTGGACCCTGTGCTGAAGGGCGGATGACTCAGTGCCGTGTTTGTTTAGTTACAATTGATTCTGCGCAACGCGGTGAAGTGTTCCCAAACTGTAATCACCTCGCTTGAAGGCCCGCAAATTCTCTCTGGAGCATGGTCATGCATCACGAAGCCCTGTCCAAAACATTTCGCAAGCAATTTCAACAGTTTTTGAGAGGCCTAGGACAGGTTGGTGATGCAAGCGTAGCCCAGGCTTGCCCTCGCTCGGCGTGCCATCGGCTCGAGTCGAGGCACGTCGTGCCGCGCGCAGCCCAGTCACATGAATAAATGCTCATAGCCCCTTAGAACACTTCTGGCTTCAGGACTTTGGGGGCCTGGGTGAGAGCAGGTTCATGATGTATGGCATTTACGGCTTTGGAGGGCACAAGCAACCGCTCCACTCAGTCGGCTGGGTGAAGATCTCACGGTTGTAAGCTTGCACAGAAACTTGAACCGCAGAACTTCTAACAGAGTTTGCTCCTTGATGTCCATTTCCTTGATGATTTCAAAGCCAACATAGTGTAAGAAGTGCTGAGTGAACAATGTCAGGCGGCATCGTGACAGCATGGTTCCAAAAGTCTCCCACCAGTGCGGTTGCGCCCTGGGCTCTTGCTTGGCCCAGACTGGCTGATCCTTCAACAAGGTTGCTCTTGTTGTGCCAATCCCGGGCCCCTCCGGCAATAGTTGATGAATGATCCTGTGGTAATCGGAGTACGCAACGCACCTCTGCCAACTACACCGTAAACTCATGGCAAACTTGATGCTTGCTGTGTTGCAAAACGGTAAATAGACCAGCATATGCCCTGAGGCCCAGGCCTGCCACTCACTACCCTCAAATCATGAAAGCAACCCTGGCATCACTGGCCCTGGGCCCTACACGCCGCAAGAGCTAATACCGAAGAGCATGCCTTCGGAAAAGGTTGGTGAACATGGCACCCCAGCGGCGGCGGTTGCGGCCCTGCTGGCAAAGGTGGGCTGTAGCCATGATTCACAGCAGAGGATGGAGGTTTTTGGGGTGCAGGGTTCAGAAAACAGGGCTGTTTGAGGAGGTTGGGTCATGGACTCGAGGAATGATGATCCAGTCAAGATACCTACGCGCACACAGCAATTTCCATGCCTGAGAGGATACTAGCCTACGCAAGCACGAGCACAACACTTTTCATATTTCTGAAATACCAACGCGTCGGTCATGTTGTTGAGCCGCCGCCTCTGCCCAAGGTGGAGCAGGACGATGGTGAATGTGGCATGTCTCAGCGGGTTATGCGGAAGGCCTGTCGTGCCCAGTGGCGTTGTGGTGCTGGCATGAGGGGTTGGAGGCCCTTTCTTTACAGACGTGGAACGCCCAAACAAAAAAGGACTGTCGTCAACGAAGTCAGGCCCACATGGGGTCTGTGCTGTTGTTCTTTTGGAGCAGACGCGAGATGTTCCCAGACTTAAGCATAGCCGGTCCAGTCTACTTGGGATGTTATCCCAGCTTAGTCGCAGTGTTGGAACACTCCATGCTAGAGGTCGCCTTGTACGAGACTGATGATTAACAAGTCAAGCAAATGTGAACAGGCATCAGTCTAGGGTTCAGGGAAAAACCAACATGAATGGGCTTAGAATTTCCCGTGTTCTTAGAGTTATGCCTTCTCTACATGAGCTACTGTCAATATTAGGCTTACCAGGGATCGTTTAGGGTGAACATTGGGATTATCTTGGTAGTTTTCTGTAGTCCCTAACATATTCCCTAGTAAGGGCCCATGCCCATTGATTGTGTGCGAAATATTGACTGCAGCTGATGTATTGTCCTTAGTTCCCAAGTTGACCATTCCTGTCATTGGCTTGTAAAGCAAGGCTTCAAAAGCTGTAGCAGTCCTTATTGCCTTTGGTAGTATGGTTGTTTTTAGCTTGGCCGGGACTGCACCAGCCGACTTGGAATCCCAACGAGGTGTCTTTGATGGTTTGAGTGCTAATGAACCTGAAAAGCCAATCCTGCAGAAATCCTTTGCTGAACGGCCAGCCCCTTAAACTCGTGTTCCCATGTTGACAAGAAGTACCTTCAACAAGGAGCTTCACGCCAGCGCGCTTAGTGCAGAACTACGTAGGAACTTACTTTTGCCATTATAACGGTTCCATCCGCCGCACGTTTGACCCCATAAGCTGGGGTCTCCTCACGTTCTCGGCTCCCAAAATCTCAATGTTTGCACAGACTGAATGCCCTAAGCTCCTAAAACTTTCTACACCTCAACTGACCAAAGCGCAAACAATCCCTCAAGCTCCAAAGCTCTTCACTCATG